CCTGACCACCACCTCCCCCACCTGACCACCTCCCTCACCTGACCACCTCCCTCACCTGACCACCACCTCCCCCACCTGACCACCACCTCCCCTGGACCAGCCTTCCCTAGAGCCCCCAGCCCCGCCCTGAGTTCCAGCTCTGCCAGGACAGCTTCCCTTGAAGACCTCCCATCTCAAATGTGCCCCAAACCCACACTGGCATCCTCCCTTCCCCATGACCATCTTGAGTCATCTCCCCCTCTGAGGCTGAATCCAGTGCGGTTTTTGTCCTTCCTAGGTGCACTGCTAAGCTGTGGCTGCCACACCTGCTCCCCTCTGCCCAACGGAGGCCGCCTCCCTTGTCTGAACCATGGCACTGCCTCCCCAGCAAGTCCTCCAGCCCCAACCTCTCCCTGAACTCCAAGTGTCCAGGTCATGAGACCCCTCCCAGGCCTGTGTGCTCTGCTGACCTTCTGGGTCCCCCCTCCCACCCCTTGGCACCGTCTGCCCACTGGAAGCTCCATGGGCATAGGTGGTGGTGTCCACCTGGGCCTGGGGGCGCACAGCGGCAGCAGCCAGTTTCCACTGTTCCGTTATATTCTGCCTCTGCAGCCTTGGGCAGGTCCCCCGCTGTGTGGCTCAGTTACCTCGTTACCTCACCTGCCAGTGGCAGTGGGCACCTGAGGAGTGACTAGGCCCCCTTGTCGGGGTGGCTTCAAGGGCCGCACAAGCACCCAGAAAACTTCCCATGGAGAGAGCTCAGGGCGTGCTGAGGTGGGGCCCAGGCTGGAAGGCTCTGGGTGGGGACTCACCAGTGGGAGGGGGCAGCAGGCTCAGGTTGTGGTGACACTGGTCACCGTAGAGCTTCCACCTCTCAAACAGGAAGTCCATCACCTGAGCGGAGGAGGCCTGTGGCTGGGGACACATGCACAAGCAGCCAGGCAGACAGACAGACAGACAGACGGGCAGGCAGGCAGGCGGACAGGCAGACAGACGGGCAGGCAGGCAGGCAGGCGGACAGGCATCAGTGTTCAGTCCTCATGGGAGGGCCCCTGGGTGCTGAGGGTGGCGTGAGTCCTCACCTGGCAGACCAGCAGTAGCAGCAGCAGCACAGGTGGGCGTGGCGGGCGGAGAGGCATGCCTCTGGGCAGCTAGCTGCCCCCAACATCTGGCAGGGACTGCACGTCTGGGGCCACTTAGTCCTGGTGTTTGTGCACGCTCCTCTGGGGGCTGCTGAGTGGCAGAGCCTGGGGGGCGTCCTTCTCCCGTTAAGCTGCTCCTCTGAGCCTCAGAGTCCTACGGATAAAGAGAGAGCTGGAAGGGAAGAGACCCCAGGAGGGGCCACTTTTTGCCAGGGGGAGCTCGGGCCACCTGACCAGCCCCCACATGCCAGGAGGTCTTGACTAGGGTCATGGGGGCTGCACCATCTCCCCTGGTGGAGCTGGCTTTCCTGTCACCCAGGGCTGGCTGGCTGGCTGGGAGCTCTCGGGGTCCCAGAGACCCTTGACTCAGTGCTGGTGGCAGCCACCCTCCTGTCAGGTGGCCCAGTGCTCTTGGAGGGGGACTGTCCTCCCAGACGCTGACCTCCTCCCTCAGTTGACAGCCCCCGGCTGGTCGGTCCTCACCGTTCTCCCCACCTATTCTTAGCCCCTGGGAAAGTTGGCCTGCCAGGCTGATGAGCCAACATGCCAAGCGTGAGGGTGGCAGTGCCTGGACCTTCCATCACTTGGCCCCAGGGTCACAGTGAGCAAGGTGGCTGGGCTGGCTTGCAGCTGCGCCAGGCCAAGTGTGGGGCCCACGCTCGGGGGCCTGTTGCATGCCCCCTGCCCAGCAGTGGGGTGCCTCCATACCCCATGGGTGCTGTGCAAGGCTCAGCTGGGCTTCCTGGGTCCCTGGGATGCCACTGGCTGGCTGCACATTCCTTTGAGATTAGCACTGCCAGTGCCGGCTCAAAGGAGGAGCTGGCCTGGGGTGAGGGCACAGGGTGAGGAGGACAGCCTCTGTGGTGCCTGCTGGGGCTGCAGGAGGCACAGCGCCTGGTCCCAGGCCAGAGACAGCATCTGAGCTGGGAGCTCGGGGCAGCAACAGCCCCAGAAATCGGCCTTTCACTGCTGTGGAGCCGTTTCCGCACCCGCCGAATTCCGTGGGAGCGGCAGGGAGGGTCTTCCTGTGGGGCCTGTGTGCAGGGTCCTTCGAGTGGCTGGCTGTGAGCCCCTGGGCTGCGATGGGCTCTTCTTTGGGGTACCCTCAAACAGAGTAAGAGGTGTGGGTGGACGGCTGGGCAGATGGAGGGCAGTGCCAGGGAGAAACCAGGGAGAGGGGTGAGGAGGGGCAAAGGCTGCAGCTGGAGCAGAGGGTCTCTGGGCAGGGCTGGACGTTGGGCCACCACAGTGCAGCCTCCTGCAGGCAGTGGCTGGGTGACCCTGAGTGGGGCCAGCTCCACCTGGGGTTCCTTCCGCTAACGGGGCCTGAGATGCGCCATGCAGGGTGACAGCTGAATGACAGGGACAGGCACCTGTGTCACAGCCTGCTAAAGGGCTCCCAACCCCAGCCCTTGGGCCTTGGGCTCATGAAGGGGCTGCTGGGAGGCAGGACCTGTGTGTCACTGATGCCCAGTCCGAGCCAGGTGAGGAGTCAGGCAGGCTTAGTGCTGGGGACCAAGGAACCACAGAATCGGGGGCTCTCTCTTGACGGACAGAGCAGCAGGTAGGTGGGGCAGGAGGGGCAGTTTTGGCATCCCCAGCTCTGGGGTCACACAGGGGCCTTATCTTCCCTGATTCTAATCAGACAGCCCCTTCTGCTGCCACTGCCCTGGGTGGCTCTGGCCACTGCACCAGGCTGGGCGAGGAGCAGCAGGGGCTGCCTCTTCCCACTGTGTACACCCCCGACCCAGAGGGGCCTTGGAGGAGGGGCGCTGCTGGATGGATAGGCTCAGGAGTGCAGGAGGGGCCAGAGGCTCCGGGCCAGGGGCAGGGAGAGGGACAAGGGGCGGCTGGAGCAGGGTGGACGATGGAGATGCAGGCCGGGGCTGAGGAGGAAGGACACTGACTGATAAGCTGTTGCCTGCCTCGGGGCCCTGCAGTGGGACATGGGGGGATGTGTGCTGGCCCCGGGGGTAGACGGTCCAGCCAGGAGCTCCCTGGGCAAAATGACAGCCCCTTAGAACGCAGTGTGGCCAAAGCTGGCTCTGCCCCCACAACTCTGCCAGAGAAACAGGAGCCATTTCAATGCCTGCTGTATCAGCCCCAGAGCCACTGGGAACACCCCAAGCCAGCGAGAGAGGAGATGGTGCCGCCACACACGAGGGCCTCCGCTCCAGGGCCCTGCCTTCGGGAGACCCCCTCAAGGTGAGGGAGGGGTGGGCTGCCCAGTCCCCCAGGCCTTTTTTAAAAGCACTCAGGGCCTAGGAGTAGGGAGGAGGAAGAGGGAGGGGGGCTGTCTGTGTCCTCCCACCCTCAACAGAAGGTTGGGAAGGTGGGGCTGGGGATCCTGGAGGATTGCCCCCCACAGCCCAGCACCCACAGGCCACAGGTGGGCTCCCCATCAAGGCACCCCTAGTCCAGGATCCCTAGGGGTCAGAGCCTCTGAATACAAGAGGTGGGGTGGGGGCAATTCTCCAGTGGGTCTGATAGTGAGACGGAGGTTTTCCATTCCCTGAGGGCAGTGGGTCCTGTGTGGGTAGGGACATTCCAGCTGCTTATCCCAACAGGGGTGGGTGGAGCCAGCTGAGCCTCCAGGAGAGAGCCCAGCCTGGAAAGCAGGGCTGAGCCTGCTGTGGTCCTGGGACAGAGCACAATTTAACTTCCCAAGTGGGGACCCCACACCACATCACTGACAGTGACACACCAGCTCACAAGGGGAGAGGCTTTGCTGCCTGAAGGGAAGAAGGGACCCTCCTCTGTTGATCTCACCAGCCCTCTCCCCCAACAGGAGACCCTAATCTCACCCAGTCCTCTCCCCCGACAGGAGACCCTGATCTCACCCTGATCTCACCCAGCCCTCTCCCCCTGCAGGAGACAGTGATGCCTGGGCACCCATCCGCCTAGGATCTAGGTTTGTTGACTGAAGGAGTGGACAGAAACTGGGTGCTGAGGCAGCGGTGGAGGTGCCACTGTGGGCTTCCTGGGCCTGCAACGCCTGGCAGGGCTTCTGTGCCCCTTATGACCCTTGTGGCAACCCACCAGGGACCCCACACTCTGCCTTCACAGACCAGGTGACCAAGCTCCTTGGAGTCAGCTGAGGATTAGGGTTCCTGAGGTGCCCGATGGGGAGGCTCCCGAGGTGACCTGCCAGCCTTCCCTAGCCCCCCGCCACCCGATTCCTCCCACAGCCATCTGTTGGGCCACACCAGTCACCAGCAGGGATTGGGGCCACTTGAGCTCCGCTGCCCCGGCTGCTCAGCAGGGCTGGCACCCCTGTCCTCTCCTATGCCTGCCCTGGCAGAACACGTGACTAGGGCGCTCATGGCTCCATCAGGCCCCACCAATTCCCACGGCCGGGGCGGCTGAGGGACCCGCAGACCTGGAGCTGGGCCCCTAGAATGGGTGGAGCAGCCACTGGCCGAGGAAGGCAGTGGGCCTCCCCAGTAAGTTCCCAAGGGGCCTCCCGGAGGCCTTCAGTAGCTCGAAGGAGTACAGGGTGGGAGCGGTGGGAGCCGGGATGTTTTTGTGAAACCAGAGAAGGTATCATCGGAAGGTCAGGGCACCAGGGCGGGATCAGGCGCCACAGGCTGTTGACAAAGCCCGATCCCTGCGTCCTCACCCTGTGGGGGCGGGGCAGGCCTGGGTCCCGGCCAGGTGCGCTCCGACCCTGACCCTCGCGCCCCAACGTCAAGGGCAGGAAGCAGCCCTGGCTGGTCCTCGGAGGATGCAGGCGCCGAGAGGTCCCGGGTCGGTCGGTTCGGGATCGGAGCGTAAACCCCGTGGCCGAGTAGGGGGGCGAAGCGGGGGCCGGAGAGGCCGGAGCCGGACAGGGCAGTGACCCGCTTGTCGGGGTCAAAGTCGCCAGTGTGGGCCGCGGAAGAGGAGCGGCCAGGCGGGGCGCAGACACCCCCACCCCATCCCGGGCCACGGTGGCGCTCCGGGGCAGTCCTAGGGGTCGGAGCCCCCGAGGGGAGCGCGCGCTGCTGAGACCCCGCGCCCGAGGGCGCATCCACGGCGCTTTGTGCGCTCCCAGGGCGGCGGAGCCGGGAGACCGGAGGGAGGAGCGAGTCCGGCAAAGGGCGGCAGCCGAGGCGCCAGGCAGCCAGCGACACCCCCGCCCCCAGCCGCGCTCCCGGGACCAGAGGACGCGGGAGGGACTGAGACCCCTGGGCCTGCCCGACGGTGCAGGACCAGGGTTGGGGGGCGTCCGAGCCGGGGTTGGGAACGGAGGTGTCCGACGGGACTGAGGACCGCGCCAGCCGGGGCCCCGGAGACCGCCAGCCGCTTCCCCCTCCTCGCGCCCCGCGCCCTTGCCCCCGGCCCCGCTGCGCCCCCGGCCCCGCAGTCTCTGCCCCGCCCGGGTCGGCTCCGGAACGTCCCCCCGGGGCCACGACACAGGTGCTCACCGCGCGGCGCTGCTCCTGGCTCCGCTCGGCTCCCCGCTGTCCTCCAGGAGCGCTCGGGTCGGGTCAGAGCCCCGGTGGCCGCTGGTCTCCACGGCGCTGCCGGATCCGGGTCGGCGCCGGCTCCGCGCCCGCGCCCCGTGCCAGCCGCACCAACTTTCCAGCTGCGACGCAGGGCGAGGGCGGCAGCGAAGGGGCGGGTGCGGGGCGGGGGCGAGGGGGTGGGAGCAGCAGCCGAGGGTCCCCGCCCGCCCTGCGCGCAGCCTCCCCGAGAGCTTCGGTGCTGCCCACCCTGCGCGGGGTTGCCCCGGAGAGCGCCTCGGACCCGCGAGCAGACCTCGTCCAGGCCACACGCAGACCCCGAGCCCTGACCTCCGCCCCGCAGACCTTGGCCCCCCGGATCCTGGTCCGGCAGACCCCAATCCTGCAGACCCCCGACCCCGCGGACCCCGGCACGACAGGTGGCGATCACGGCGGGTCCTGGCTCCCCGCGGGGACACCCCAGGTGTGGAGGAGCGCAGCGAGGCGTGGGGCCGTGGCTCAGCGCCCCTTTCTCTCGCTCCCTCCGCGTCCCTGGGCGGGCACCTCCTGGCCCCCTTCCTCCAGTGTCCCCGGGTTCTTGCCGCTTCTTTCCTGCTGCCTTCCTGATTTTCTGGATGAACCCACACCCGCACTCGCCCCCACCGCACCTCTTTGCAGAGCAGATGGGGGCTGGAGTGGGGGCCGACATGGGTGGACCGGCGGGGCGGTCCCTGGGGTGCCCTTTAACTCTTTCTGTGCCACATCCCCGGTCTCCAGCCAGTTCTGTCGCGCTGAGGCTCCTCCAGCACCGCTCAAACGTAGCAGCGAGGACCCTGGGCCCCAACCTGCCGGTCCTGGGCCGCAGGGCGCTCTCCCCGCCCTCCCGCACCACCTCCTTTCCTAGGAGCGCAGAAGCCCCAGCCAGAACCCCTACCTTCCCCAAGGGGCACGCTCAGGGGACATTCTCCCCTCCCTCACTCCCCCTAAAGCCTACATCACACCTGGCTTTGTGGCCACCAGAACCTCAGCCTCCGCCCCTCCCCTTCCAACTCCAGCAGTCCCTGCTCTGTGCCTAGTGATCTTGGGGTCACCACAGCCCCATGGACGCCTTGAGGCCTCACCTTTCCCGGCCTCTCAGCATCCTAGGGCACTGATGTTTATGCCCTCCTTCTAGAAAGTTCTCCCCTAGGCTGTGGCTTCCAGGATGAACACTCTCCTCCTCCCACTTCCTCCCCTTCTCCTTCCCCCTCTTCCCTTCTCCCTGGAGAGGTCTTCTTCCCCACCCAGAGCCCCTCCCGCTGACCGTGTCTGTAGTGCCCTGCTCCTGTCTGGTGGCGCCTCTGTCTCCACTGGGAAGCCTCCCCCGGCATCTCCAGTCCTTCTCCAAGTCATCTCCTGGTCCATCTCCAGTCCTTCTCCTGGTCCTCCTGCATTTCCCTAGAGCTGTCCTGGTCACCCTCGCCCTGGGACGCCCCCTGTCTGTACTGAGCTCCTTTGATAGATGCCCCCTTGGTCTTGGGGAGTTCTTTCTCCTCCCTAATTCTACTTCTGTTTTAGGGGCTATGGGAATGCAGGATCCTAACCCCAGCTGTTCCCCTCACCCATGGGCTACTTCCCTCTGAAGCTTAGCCCAGCTCTCTGACCCCCACAGGCCTGCCCCGCCTCCCCCCCCCCCCCCCCCTCCCTTGCTAGGCCCCCCTGTGAGGGCCCCATGCTTCCTAGCCCATAGGACGCCCTGTTCCTGGAGGGGGCCATTCTGTTTTAGTCTGAGCAGTGGGCAGAAGCAAAGGTCAGAAGGCAAAGGTCATAAACGTTTGTCTCTGCCTGCCAGGACCTACCTCTGCTACCCCATCCTCTCCCCTCTCTACCGACAGGAGCAGAGGCGGTTGTGGGACAGGACACAGGGCGCCAGCCCTGCAAACTGCATCCACCCCTGTTGGGATAAGCAGCTGGAGTGTCCCTACCCACATGGGACCCACTGCCTGCAGGGAACGGGGGACCCCCGCCTCACTATCAGACCCACTGGAGAATTGCCCCCACCCCACCTCTTGTATTCAGAGGCCCTGACCCCTAGGGATCCTGGACTTGGGGAGCCCACCTGTGGCCTGTGGGTGCTGGGCTGTGGGGGGCAATCCTCCAGGATCCCCAGCCCCACCTTCCCAACCTTCTGTTAAGGTTGGGAGGACACAGACAGCCCCCCTCCCTTCTCCTCCCCACTCCCCACTCCTCACTTCTCCAGGGGTGCAGACAACAAGGTTTTGATCTTGGGTAATGGTGCCCCCCAGCCTCAGTCTGAGACCTCTGTGAATGGGGGTGATGGGCAATGGGGTGATGGGGACCACCTCCTGGTGGCTGCAGGGACTGGGGTGAGGCTGCTGCAGGCTTAGCACAAATCAGGTGCCATGGGGCTGAGGAGAGGGCGCCCGGCCCTGCAGGAGTCCTTTCTGCCCACGTCCAGGCCGGAGACTGGCAGCTGGAGCCTGGTACCCGCAGGAAGACAAGCAGAAGAAAGCATTTGGAGTGTGTGAAGGGGGCGAAGCCTGAAAGGTTTGGACTCAGTGCGGGAGGGAGAGGGCCCGGAGGGGGTGAGGCCCCGCCCCTGGGCTGGGGGGCCCATATTTATGTGACTAAATCCGTGGCAGGATTCTTTGCTTGACCAAATGTAGTCCAGCTTCTCACAGGCCCATCTGAACCCTGCCAGGTCAGTCTGGCAAGAAGCCCCCATTCCCCATGTCTGAAAAGCGTCCTCAGCCTGCCTTCAG